ATCTCTCTCTCCAAAAAGATTACGACTGTTTCTACCCTTTGGCCCACGAACCCGCTCTCTTCGGACATGGAAATTTCTCCTCCCAAAAATTAGCCTCGACGACGCTTTAAGATTGATCCGACTCACCCCTTCCTTTTTGCCTTGGGACGACTATCAGCGCCCGAAAACAAAGGGATAATAGGCCTCTTAGAAGAATGCCCATAAATGAAATCACGCTTAGCAGCCAAATGACCCTTATCCAACATTAGGGGAGAAGACACCTCATCAATCGACACGTCAAAAAGCCTAGAGTTGGTGGGGATGGATTGGGTCACCTAAGCTTGATCCAAATCCCTATTGATTACAATTAACCCAGCACTATCGTCGAAAACATGCTGCTCACGTGGCCCATTACAAGAGGAGATGGACACACCGTGAAACCCTGTTACAAAAGCATCCTTACAAACCTCGATATCATCTACATACTCCCACCTTCCATAAAGCCATCGATATTGGCACTCCTCTGACACACCATCTCACCCTGTTCTCTCTCAACAAGTCTCCCCTCGAGACCACCTCCTACAACACCCTCCACGTTGAAGAGTGAGGAATTTGAACCTTCTGCAACATCCGCAAACCACACACCACCATCCACCTTAGTTTCATTGAAAAGAACTCTCGCCTCATCCTGTACCTCGGATAGAACTTTAATAGAGGTGGAGGGAGGTGCGATAACAGCATGTGGGTTTCTAGTTCAAAAGTATGTTGGTCAGTAGGCTAGGATTCATAATAGTTCTGTTATAGTTGTTCATGTTAGGGTTGTTGACGATTGTGTAGCAAGATTTCCTTCAAAGCTTTTTGTTGCCAAGGTATTGTTGGAAGTTCAGTCTGAAGTATCCACGAACCCGCTCTCTTCGGACATGGAAATTTCTCCTCCCAAAATTTAGCCTCGACGACGCTTTAAGATTGATCCGACTCACCCCTTCCTTTTTGCCTTGGGACGACTATCAGCGCCCGAAAACAGAGGGATAATAGGCCTCTTAGGAGAATGCCCATAAATGAAATCACGCTTAGCAACCAAATGACCCTTATCCAACATTAGGGGAGAAGACACCTCATCAATCGACACGTCAAAGAGGCTAGAGTTGGTGGGGATGGATTGGGTCGCCTAAGCTTGATCCAAATCCCTATTGATTACAATTAACCCAGCACTATCGTCGAAAACATGCTGCTCACGTGGCCCATTACAAGAGGAGATGGACACACCGTGAAACCCTGTTGCAAAAGCATCCTTACAGACCTCGATATCATCTACATACTCCCACCTTCCATAAAGCCATCGATATTGGCACTCCTCTGACACACAATCTCACCCTGTTCTCTCTCAACAAGTCTCCCCTCGAGACCACCTCCTACAACACCCTCCACGTTGAAGAGTGAGGAATTTGAACCTTCTGCAACATCCGCAAACCACACACCACCATCCACCTTAGTTTCATTGAAAAGAACTCTCGCCTCATCCTGTACCTCGGATAGAACTTTAATAGAGACTAGACGACCTTCAACGATAATGGAGACTTTCTCAGATAAGGATACTTCAGACTGAACTTCCAACAATACCTTGGCAACAAAAAGCTTTGAAGGAAATCTTGCTACACAATCGTCAATAACCCTAACATGAACAACTATAGCAGAACTATTATGAATCCTAGCCTACTGACCAACATACTTCTGAACTAGAAACCCACATGCTGTTATCGCACCTCCCTCCACCTCTTTAAACGACCTAGCGTCCCTTAATATTGGCTTCCAAACCTTATTAAACCTTTTTAATACATCAACCTTCTTGCAAAGCTTTTCAGGATTATTGTCGTGGAAAACTCTAATTTTGAAACCATCCAACACCCTACCATCAGCTCTCCTCACCGCCAAGCTCGCTTCATCTCGATTACTGAACCTAACGAACGCAAAAGTAGAGTCCGCGAATTTTCTTTACAAACTATTATACGCAATGAACACATCCAAAACAACATCATATACCTGAAACACTTCCTTGAGAGAAGAAACAAGAATCCTCTTACTAACATAAATTTAATACATGACTAGTATAAAAGATTTTAAAGTTAATGCTCAAATTAATTCATTAGACAAATTAAAAAAAGAATCAAGATCAAAGTGAATTAAATGAAAATCTAAGGGAACAAATCATACACAAGTAGTTACTATAATGGAAGAAAACAAAGCATGGTTCTAGCGTCGCGAATGCGTAACTTTACAAGGATCCGTGCCCTAATTATATTAATTTTGTTAACTGCAATGTAGACACTTCCGTAAAGTGTTAACTGTAGGTGGCTATATTGAAACCATTTAAATAGTTCAGTGGCCATATTGACGCAAATTTAAAAATGGTTGTCATTTCACGACTCAACCCATAATTATGTGGTCATTTACGTAGTTTATCCAAAAAAATTGGATGATTCTACACTAAATAATTTAATTTAAGGTTCAAGAATAATAGAGAATAAATACAATTGAAAATATTAATAATAAAATAACATTTTTTTTAATTTAATTTAATTTAAGGTTGTAGGTTGGGTTTATTGAGTCTGAGACATATTTTGGGTGAAGTATATACTAAATTCACATCCAGGAGATCTAAAAAAAGTTCATTGATTTTTTTTTTTTAATTTGCAACAGTTGTCGATGATAGTGGCTAACAGGGAAGATGATGAGTGGTGACCAATAACAATAGAATTTGGCTGACTTCAAGGATCAATTTCATAATTTATTTAATGCTTTTAAAAATGATATTTTATTTAAAATTGAGGGCTAAAATAATATTATAACTAAAGTTCAAAGGTTAAATAAATTAATCCTTTTAACTAATATCTCATGCCATTAATCTAACATGAGGTAACAATTTAATGATCAAAATATAATAACTGGTAACGTAAATGACCAAAATTTAATAAATTAATAATATAAATGTTTTTTAAATTAATAATAAAAATAAATAAAATTGATTATTCCTATAGTTAACTCAAAAAGAAAATAAAGAGAAAACTCAATAATACTTTTATGATTATTGTTTTTCTTATTTACAATATAACTTTGGATAAATCAGTGACCTTAAATAAAAATAATAATAGATAGAAGAGTAACATTCGACGTAAATGAATTATTACTCTTAGATAAATTAATAATGTATTATAAAATTAAAGGAATTTAATAAAAATATAAAGAAATAGAAATGAGTAGAGAAAAACAGAAAATAATAGGTAATATATATCTGTATTATTTTTTCATAAACTTAAAATACATATTTATAATACAAGGATAGAGATAAATAATAATTATCAAACTTATAAAATTAAATCTGGTAGATACTAGATACATACATACAAAAAGATAAATATTAATAAACAGCAAATTATATTAAATAAAATAAGATAAAAAAAGTCATTTGAGGGTCTTGTACTTGAAAAATTAATGCGAGTTTTAAATTATTTTTATATTTAATGTAGTTTTTAAACTTAGGAAAAAATTTAACGTAGCTTTTGACTAATGATTTATGTCGTTGATCATTACGATATTAATCTAACATTTTAGGACATTGACATAACAATCTATGATGCTGAAATGATAATTCATAATAGTTGAGACATAGTAGATGAGTTAAATTAGTTTTTATTTTTTAGTTTAAAGGCTTATTTAACTTTTTTTAAACAAAATTAAAATATTTTAAATTTAAAAATATAAAAATGTCAAAAGAAATTAAATATAAAGTATGAAAAATAAAAAATTAAATTACTAAAATATTAGAAATATATATCACCATTTTTATCTTAAATTTAACTCAATTTTTATTTATGTAAACTTGAACTTGTCCAACGTACACAAATTTATTTTTTATCTTTAATTAACTTAAATTCTAAATGTCTTTCTAATTCTATTTCACCAAAAAATTATAAAATTGAATTTAAAAATACTATAAAGTCTTATAAAAGATAAAATTATAAATTAAAATTTGTCTCTAAATAAAATAAATCTCATATCAGAATTCACCTCTAAATTTAATTAATCATTTAACAACATTTTCAATCATTTTGATTAGTATATATTAATTTTTATTTCAATATTTTTATATTACTTTTTTGTATATTTTAAATTTAAATAAGTCATTGAACTTTTTTTTTTTAAATCAAATTGGCTCTCGAATTCATTCAAAAAATTAATTTAGCTCATTTATCACATCATCAGTAACCATGAATCATTATATTAGCATCGTGAAGTGGCTTGTCAAGATAATAATAGTTAACTGCAAAAATCGTTAGTAAAAGAACCGCATAGATTTTTCCCTAAATTTAGAGGTTATATTAAGTGTAAAAATAATTTAAAAACTATATTAATTTTTTTAAAAAGAAATACAATAACTTCAGGTGTTTTTTTACCCAAAAAAAATAATGCTTTATCTTCTTTTTAATGTTATAAACATTCACAGTAATCTATATACATCATGAAAGTTTATTTTTCCTTGAAAGAATTCATTCATCCGTGGCCTTCTTTCACAAACACTTTCTTCTTCTCTCCGGCAGTCAACCCAACATCCCACCAATATTCATCAATAAAAATGAGTTAACAAATATATAAATGGTAGTTTATCTTCCCTATAAAAGAATACAGTTATTTTAAAAACTTTAAAAATAAACCCCTTCAATTTAATGACATATGAGTTGTGCCCCATCTCTTTCCAAAGTTTCCATTTCAACTCCTACCCTGTCCTTTCGGGTTCCTACATTTACAACATAGGGGTGGAGGAGAAAGAAAAGCTTCACTAAAGAGGGTTGCTTCTTTTCCCCACCACAGCAGAAATCTTTTTCCCAACCCCAACCCCAAACCCTCCCTCCCTCCCCTCTCATTTCTCAAAAACCTTCATTGGTGGCTAAGACGAGTTCTCTCTTATCCACTTGGCACCCAACCCAATATCCCACCAAAACTGGGAAGTAACTATGAAATAACCAATCATTTTTTCACTCTTCTACTTCCCTTTTCCATTTTAAAAAACTTAGTTTTGGGTTTTTGTGTGTTGGGGCCTCATGTTGGATGGGATTTTTTTAAAAGCAATTCTCGTTTCTTCTATTTCTTTCAGGGTTTCGTCTCTTCAACGCTAAATTTGGTAAAATACCGACAGTTTTTCCCCACATTTGCCTTCTTTAACCTTGCCTTTTCTCTTTTTTAAGTCTTAAATAACTCTATTTATAGAAATATCCATTTGGTTTTGTTTTTTTTTGTTTCCAGATTTACTTGATTCCATGCTTGAGTTATTCCCTAAATAGAAGTTCGATTGCTCAAGTGCTCTAAAACGGAAGGCAACCTTTTGTTTTTTGTGCTGGTTTACAAGGAAGGGAAAAGAAGATCAACAGATTAAAAAAGAAAAAGAGAAAATGGCAAGAGAAAAGATTCAGATTAAGAAAATTGATAACAGCACAGCAAGGCAAGTGACTTTTGCCAAAAGGAGAAGAGGGTTGTTTAAGAAAGCTGAGGAGCTGGCCGTTCTTTGTGATGCAGATGTCGCCCTTATCATTTTCTCTTCTACTGGGAAGTTCTTTGAGTATGCTAACTCAAGGTACTCTTCTTCTCACTTTCCAAACACATGTTTTTGAATTACTTTCCGTTTTTTAGCATACAATTATCCTGTTGTAGTTGTAACATTTTACTCTTTCCTAGTGGGAGAAAGGACAAATTTTTGAACTTTGAGAGAAATGTGTTATATATATATGCTTTATTTGTAAGATCTTTGAGAGGGAGGAAGTCTGTTCTTCTGTATTTATGTGTTCTTTTTTTAAAAAAAAAACCTGGAAGTTTGATGGAAAAATGAAAGCAGTAATGAAAAATTGAGTTTTGGATCCAGATAACTTTACATTATGTCTGTATGTGTAGATTTGTTTCTTTTTTACATTTTATGTGTATCTATAGTGCTCTGTGTTATGCTGTACGAAAAGATGATAAGCTCGATTTTATGCTTTAATCCTAGCGTGAAGGAGATATTAGAAAGGCACCATTTGCGCTCAAAGAACCTGGAGAAGCTGGAACAGCCATGTCTTGAGTTGCAGGTTAGTTGTATTCTGTATTCCTCTTTCCGTTTTTAACTTTTTATGTCAATATTTAATCAGTTGGCTGCAAAATTACTTGGAGGATGAATGCAAATTTTGATTTTTCTTCTTAAAAAAATTAATATAACAATATATATATTTTTTGATAAGAATATAACACATGGCCTATTATTTGAATATGGTTTCACCATTGAAGTCCATCTATTTATAAAATACGTTGACCCTTTTCATTCCTGTTCTAACCCGCAGCTGGTAGAAGACAGCAACCTGTCCATGCTGACTATGGAGATAGCAGAGAAAAGTCATCAACTGAGGCATGCATTTCTTTTCTTTTTTTCATATCAATTTTATTCATATATGAAAAAGTGGGTTCTGCATTAAAACAGGCAAATGAGGGGCGAGGAACTCCAAGGATTAGATGTTGAAGAACTGCAGCAGCTAGAAAAGTCTCTGGAAGTAGGGTTGAGCCGTGTGATGGAGAAAAAGGTTCATAAAATCTCTGCAAAGTTTTAAGCAATATGCACATGTGATTAAATATTTGAAATTATTATCTTCTTTAATGGATTTCAGGGTCAAAGGATAATGAGCGAAATCAGTGACCTTCAAAGAAAGGTCAGTGTATAAACATACAAATAGCAGTACTAAAAGGGCTTGAAAACAGACATAAGAGAGTGTTTTGATGCACGCAGGGAATGGAATTGATGGAAGAAAATGAACGATTGAAGCAGCGAGTATGGTTTTCCTGTTTCATATATAATACTATTCCCATGCTTTTATAGTTATTATCGGTATAGGTATAGCCACAAGGTTTCTTCATCACTGCAGGTATTGCAGATATCTGATGGCCGAAGACAAGTTGCCGGTGACTCGGAGAACATCTTCTACGAGGAAGGTCACTCATCGGAGTCGGTGACCAACGTTTGTATGTTGAACGGTAATCTGCACGACAACGAAAACTCCACTACATCCTTGAAACTAGGGTGAGTGCAATTACAGAAACATATACTGAATTTATTGTTAAAAGCCAATGGCCAAACCGTTTTTTTCATTTGGCCTGATGTTTTGCAGGTTACCGTATTCTGGTTAAGTGGGGAAGGTTTGTGGTAGGAAATTATGATAGAAGCTTTCGTAGGATATGATTGGTGAGTTGGATTTTTATTGAGATGCAAAGGTAGCTAACTCACCTGTATGTTTGTGATACCATTTTATTTTAATCAAATTCGGAAACGGATAGACAATGCAATGTCCCTCACTTTCCTAGTGCAAAAGTTGTTGCATAGTCTCGATATTGAAGATGCATACTTAAGTCATCCAAGGATCGTATTATCCAACCTTATTATGAAAAACACATATTCCTAATGAAATTTAAACATCGATAATCTAACTTTTAACGGATTCAAATATTTGATATATAAATTAAAACTTTGAATTCAATTTTCCAAAATTGATGTATTTATAAATAGTGAAATTTAATTCTATTTCATATAAAATATTTAGATAATTTATAAATAAAAATAAATTTTGTGGATTCATATTCAGATGATAAAAACAGGATAGATATTTGACTAGTTGCTATCATTCTACTAAACATTGTGGGTCCTTCCAGCTGTAAGATGGCGTTCAATTCTGGGTTTTAGGCTACCCAATTCTTGTTTGCATGCTCATAAACACACAAACTCGGATCATATAATTTATTGGGAGATGGGTCCTTCAGTTTTCGGACATTTACGAATGACTTAATAGTTTCTCATTTTAACATCCGAAGTAAATGAAATCGTCAATGCTATGAATAATAGCCCCTTGGGAATATCTTTAATCGGATGCTTTCATTTAAAGTTATCAGAAATTCAAGTTTTTTTAATTTTTTTCTTTTAATAATTAAGACGGTTATAAGATAATATTTTATTATATTAACATTAAATAAATCAGATAATATGTTATGATATTATTATTAATGTTTAATTTGAATCATATTTCACGTTAATTTTAGATTCCGAACCAAGCACGTCCCAACTGTAAATCAATAAAAGAGTTGCTTGATTTCAATGGTGGTGTCGGTGGTCTAATCATCTCTTAACTGTTCACTCTTAAAGATGAAAACATCAATCTAATGATCCCATTTTTAAAATTATATTTCCTTATTCCATAAGCGTGAAAAGGAAAGAATTACTGTGTTTTCCCATGCACAATATCAAAGCTTTGAACTTTAACTATGGGTTAATCTTTTTCGGAAGGGGTCCCATTAGAGAAAAAGGACACAGTTTTCCGTAATCAAACTAAACAGGTGTCCATGTGAGATACCATAACTAAGGCCTGAAGGTGAGAGAGAATTCGATCAGAAAAAGAAGAAAAAAAAGAGAGAGCAAGAGATAGAGATTCGTATGATGGTGAGTGCTTGAGTAGCGCTGCTTCTCTTTTTTGGCTGTTGGTTAGATTTTGTTTTGGTGTGTTGCTGATTTGAGTGGTGCCCAGTGTTCACCATTAAATAATGCCAATCAAAGCCAACACAGAAGAAAACAAATTGAGGAAAGTGATCATCTTGGAGATCTGTGTTTTTCAGCTTTAAGGGATGAGGTTTCATTACCAGAACCATTGTTATTAGTCTCCTCGGAGAGGAGCACTTGCTGGGTTATTTCTGTTGCTTTTCCCAGTTCTTTTGACTTGTTTATTCACTCCATTCGCCCATGCTTCCCCTTCTACATTCTCGGTATGTCCATACTCGAGTTCTCTTTGTTCAATTCTATATGGCTTCTGGGTTTAATTTTTCATTGCGAAAATATCCATGGAAATGAGAAATGGGAGCCTCATGGTTTGTTCAATGAAAAAGTTGCAGTTACTTTTATTTATTTATTTTAAATATGATACTTTGTATTAAAATCATAATAAAGTACATCACCTCAAGGATCTCATTAAAAAATCTCACTACCCTTATATGAAAGAAAAAGAGTAATTTGAGGGTGGAAAGAAAGAAATAGAAGAATAACTCTTACATCAAACAAGACATAAACAAGAAATACGATACAAACCCCACTCAAAAATAAAACCAATACAATTCAAACCGTATAAGATAAAATAGGACAAAATGAACATCAAATATTGATCTGAAGCAAACACGACAACAGTGTGTTAAAACCAAACAGCAATAGAGATCAAAATCAGCAAACCTGAAAAACGATAATGAATCAACCACAACAACAAGCAACAATGAACAACTCGATTTATTACTCTCATGCATCGCCCAGGAGAGCAGAGAATAACGTTTCGACACTAAATTCATGGTTACAAAATTGACAGCTAAAAACATTAAGAAGCATATCCATTCGCTTCTCGGCAGCAGACTTTGATCTCGATTTCCCCTTTCCAAGCTTCAATTCCAAAAATCAGCATCTTCGATTCAAAAACTATGATTAAATCTCCAGAAGAGCTGAAAACAAAGACCAAAACAAAAGCAAAGAATTGTAGACCCAGTGAGACAACAAAAGCAGAAACAACCGAAAACAGAAAGATATCCAAACTAATGATAGAGTCGATTCATAACCACCCATTGACTAGCATCATAATCGACCACCACTGAAAATAATAGATTCCGGACTTCGAACAAAATCTTGAGCATAAGGGATCAACTCCGGCCATAAGAAATTAGCCCAAACCGCTATCTGAATCATAGCAACATTAAAAATCTGATCCATCGAAAAAGAACACCCATTAAACCTGGATTTGTTTATGCACAACCATATTTTCCAAATCAGACAAGATAAACCAAGATACCATAAATCCCATACTTTCCTTCTAATGTTATGAGAGATCCAAACCTCAAATAACTCTTTAACATTCATTGGAAAAATAATGTTCAATCTCCACAAGCTGCACCATTGCTGCCAAACTTGCCAAACAACATCACAATGACACAAAATATGGTTAATTGTTTCTGATCCACTATTGCAAAATAAACAAAGGGGCAGATCAGTGTCGAGAACTCCTCGTTTTGCCAGCTCTACGATGACCGACAGCCTTTGATGCATTGCTTTCCACACAAAAACAACAACTTTAAGAGGGACAAATTTGAACCAAACATTTTCCCAGATTGGGTTTTCCAACTTTTTTTTTGATAGAAAGAGGCCTCATTAAAATCCTCCTTCAATCCCTCCATGTTATGAGAGTAACATGAAGGAGCAACGAAGGCGGAAAGGAGAGCCAAGAAAACTTTTATTCACAAGAACCAGATTACAAGATTGAACAAACTCCTACACTTCCAACAGAAGAACATAAAACTTAACACAAAACATCCAACAAACAGGGAGGTACAATTCCTGTTAAACAACACAACAATAACCAAAATCACCCTATCCCATCTTTAGCAAGTTTATCAGTTTCCCAGTTTGCCGCCCTTGAAATATGCCTAAATATAATATCCTTTCCAATCAAAAGCGAAACTATATCCTTCACCAAGGATAGATGCAAAGGAGGGCTTAAACCCGGATTCTGGATCCACTTCAGAGCGTTAGATGAGTCTGATTCCAAGATAACTCTCTGATTTGCGACAAAATCCAACTCCTCCATAAGACAAATCCCTCTTTTGATAGCCAACAGCTCTGCCAAGATAGGAGGACCACCCCCTACTGCTTCAGAAAACCACTGAAGTAATAGACCTCTGCTATCTCGAAACAGACCACCAATACCTCCTTTTTCCCAACCCGAAACCATCGCTCCATCAACATTTAACTTTAGAAACCCCTCCGGTGGAGGAACCCAGCAAGCAGGTTGAGAGCAATCCTTTCCTGATCTACCAATCGAATCAGCAATTTTTAAATCACCTACTAGAGAATCTAGAGGAATACCCACATCCTTGAAACGAGCACTAAACCAGGAAGCCACTCTAAATCTAACAATGAAAGATAATCTGACCAAATCCAGCTTTCCTTTCTGAAAGATAATCTCATTTCTACACTTCCATACTGACCACATCACTGCCCTAGGAATGAATTTCCAAATCAAAGAGTTAGTCATAAAATCATCCCACAAAATTAGAAATTCCATGGTACACTTTGGAGTCACCAATGACACATTCCACATTTTCAAGAAGGAGTCACCAACTTACCGACACAAAATCTTTGTACAGAAAGATTTCGGATAATAACAACCATCCGAAGAGTCTGACCATAATAGTCTATCCGACGCTGGGACTGCACTAACAACTCTATTCAGAACCTGCATAAATTCAATCCAAAGAGGCTTTTCCCAATCAAATAGATCTTTCCTCAACTTAATCCTCCATTCCCAAACTCCATGAACCCAAAAACCAAAATCACTTATCTTCCCGGATTTCAAGGAGGCTATCCCAAAAATTCTAGGAAAATAAACTTTGAGAGAATCAAACTCAGTCCAGTGGTCAGACCAAAAATCAATATTTGATCCGTCACCCATAACACACCTCATATCAGAAAGAAAACCCACCTCATTGGAACCTATCGGGTTGACAATGTTACGCCACACCCAAGAAGAATTACGCATATTTACCTTTTTCCATAAGCTATTTTTACCATGAGATTTTGGTCCACAAATATTTTCCCACTTTATCCAGTGGATACCTCTATCTGACTTAGAATTCCATAGAAAGTTAGCTACACATTTGTTTAACCTCTCGGCTATGAAAAAAGGAATAAGAAAAATGGACATAAAGTAAACAGGTAAATTAACCAAAACTGACTTAATCAGCGTAAGCCTACCCCCAAAAGAGCGAAGTTTACCTTTCCAACTATCTAGTCGAGAACTGACTTTGTCCACAGTAGGTTGCCAAAGAGACTTGGAATTCTTTTTAAAACCAAGTGGGAGACCCAAATAGGTCGTAGGAAGTTCTGCCCAACCGCAGAAAAAAGAATCTGCCCACCTTCTGACTCTCTCTTCTTCCACATTGATCCCGAAAATCTTTGTCTTCTTTATGTTAAGCTTCAGACCAGCCGCCACTTCAAAAAATTTTAGGACGCGATAGAGATTTTTTAACTGTCGTTCTTTTCCTTCCGAAAAAATAAGGTCATCCTCAAATTGAATATGAGATATGACAATGCTTCCAGACCCTACTCGAATTCCTGCACATAGATCTAACTCCACTGCTTTTTTTAGCATGCCACTAAGAGCCTCACCCACAATATTAAAGAGCAACGACGACAAATGACAACCTTGCCTAAGACTCCTCTTAATAGAAAAACTA